CTGGCTCATTTTTCCAATCTCTTTTCTATGAAGATTATTGGAAGTGGGATGCTATGATTGATTGCTTATGAGATCATTGTACACCAGAATCCTTGCCTCATATATGAAACAATATTAAAACAAAGTTGTTTGTACCAAAATTAAGATATGGTGTTTGGACCCTGAGACAATAAAGGAAATGAATCTTGGGAGCCAACATGTTAAGTATAAAATCTACTTCTAAACTGAATGATTTATGGCAATCGGTGTGTCAAAAAGGATCAACAGATGTGTTACAGGAGTTTGTGGAGATAATAATCAATATGGATATAAATTTGAAAACAAATCTTTTTTTTATTTCAACAATTAATATTATTTTTTAGAAATAACAGATTAAAAGTTTAACTATAAACTGTTAAACACAACTTTCTTTTCTATAATGAAATTTAGGTAATGACCCCTAAAAAAAAATATGTGAAAAGGATGTTTCTTCCCCTTGACATCACTATTATTTTAATTACTTTCACTCCACAGCAATATTTTTAAAATACATGAACCAGATACAATGCGATATTATTTACCATTTTATAAATAAATAACTATGAGAACAAGTTTTTATATTAATAATTTTATAAAACTCTGTGATGTATAGAACAAGAAAATTTAAATAAACATGATTTTTGTGGCCATTATACATTTTCTTTTCAAGTTATTTTATATCACAGATAATTTTTTGTTTCCTTCTTTTTTTCTTTTTATAATCATGATCTAGGATACCTAATAAATTGAAATCCAAGGTTCTGAAACTCCCCACTTTCTACTCTGTTTTGTTTTTTTTAATCCCTGCTAATTTTTCTAAAAATACCTAAAAATGTCATTAATGTCTTTTTCAGTGTGTTATCAAGTGAAAAAGATCGAACATTTCTACTTTATAATCTTATTTTGTTTGTTCATTTGTAGGAAGACATCTTGATCTGCCTTCCAATTAAACAAATTGAATTTCTTCATTTTTGCCACTTTAAGAAAAGGTGCCAGATTCTTATTAATCTTAAATCCTCCCTGTTAATTATGTTAATTAATACAAACAATATTTTGTTGCTTTTGGAAAATAATCTATTATTTTAATCCTTTGAGCCCTGACCACTGCTTTACCAGTGGTAGAGAAAAATGACATAATGCTCAGCTACAGGTTGAATAGTAGGTAAACACTTGTAATTATTTTTATATCTACCATGAAATATCACATACCAATTATTTGCAAATTTTGACTCAGAGCTCAGGCAGAATGGTTGTTCAGTAATACAGGGCTCAGAGGGTTGATCTATTAATTTGATCTTTTAATCAATTCTATTATTTTCATAAAACAATAAATGCTGGCATATTAAAAAGCAATTCATAGAAAAAAGTGTGGAGGTAACAAAAATATATATTACCCTAAAATGGTAATACTGAAATATAACGATGACTAAAACATCTAAACCAGTTTGTTGGTCCCCTCTCATCAAAGAAAAAAATATCCTGAGTGAATCGATAAACCAGTTTAGATGTTTTTAATTGTCGAATTTTAGTATTACCATTTTACAGTATTATATATTTTTGTTTAATTCATCAATTCTTGTAATTTATAAAAATTCTTTAAATATTTAAAAAGAAAATTTCTTTTAATCATGCCTTGCCCAATGGCATAATTTGAACCTGCACCTTAGAAGATTCTTCAAATCAACATTTTCTTTTCACAAGAATGAAAGAACACACTCTTTCCAGGTTGGGTCTTTATGTAACTTCCTCTCATCCACTTGCCTTTTGTGTGTTTCTCCCAAGTTCAGTTGGATTGACTTCCTGTTTTATGTTAGACCAGCAACGAACATTATTTGAAACACAAATTTTGCATTTGGTTGCTCTGAGGCACCTAGCTCTTTTGATGTTTTGACAACAATTACAAAGCTTACTTTGATATTTCTTAGAGTGAACTCATTACATATTGGGGTCACCACAGATCAACTTCTCTTAGATCAATGGTTCCGGATTAACATTAAATCCAAGATGTATGTACATATATACAAATATGACTGATAATATTATAATCTGCAATTTTAATAAACAGAATGAAACAGTGGTGAGCATATTTTTTTAAAAACTCCTCCTCCTCTGAGCCCTCGAAAGATCCAAGTCTTTTTAACTTAACCTTTATCCTTCTTAAGATTCTATCAATACCAGAGATCTAGTCTAGATTTTCACCTTTTCAAACATGCAAACATGGAGTAAAATATAAAAGCTATTGCTTATTACATTGTAATTCACCAAACGGACCATGGCATAGCCACACATCTCAGTTTAATTTCTGAAAATCATAGAACTGTTAAAAAAGGTAAAGTTAGTCTAAATGAATATTCTTAAAGACTCTAGTTCCATTTTCAAATTCTTTTGGTAAATTTGCTTTTTAAGCCCCGCACAAAAAATCTATTATAATGACCAAATTTTGATAAAACCTACCATTTTGTAGTTATCAACAATAAAAATTCAGACTCGGTCACATTCGTTCATCTGCCATTACAGGCCTTGTTTAACTACATTCTCTGCGGAACGTTTTGTGTGTGAAAGCTTATATATTATAAGTGAATGTTGAAGTCAACACCCCTAAACCCAACAGTTGGGGTTAGTAAAGAGGGTTACCTTTTCAAAGAGGGTTACCATAACCCTAACCCCTAACCCTAACCATTAGGGTTTAAGGTTAGTAATCATGTTCTTTTCAAAGTTTGTGAAAAGTTTGCACATTAATTATTATTTGTTTTATTTTTACTTTAAAAGAAAAGCTTTATTTTATTTAATTTGTTTTGTTTTTGTTTTTTTTATTTAAAAAGAAAGCTTTATTTGCCACCAGTGTGCAATAATTTAGACGAGTAATCATCAGGCGGCCTGACAATTGTGTCTAGGATGAAACAGCCTGTCACCTCTGAGTGTTGACTTCAACGTTCACACATACATATATATATATATATATATATATATATATATATATAAAATTTCATACAAATTATTAACCCTTATGCTCCTTATTTAAACAATTGCTCTAGCCGTTTCCACAGTAATTTTAATAATGAATATGCTTATAAAGACGTGTAAATTTTAAGATTAGTTTATTCCTAAAATTTTGCTTGAAGATGAAACAGAGCTTGGTATTTTAATTCAATTTAAATCTTATAATTATATTGAAGTTTATGTAGCAGAGGAATCACATTTTTAAAAAATAATTATATTTAGGCTCCACTTTTGTATTGAGCACTGTTTATTAAAAAAAGTAAAAACAAAAATACAAAAGTACTTTGGATTATTTACCTAACAAGTTGTTTCCTATTTTCTACTGTCCTGGTATGACGATAAACTACATCTGCATCCTGGATAAGACAATAAACTACGTTGCTGTTGGACGTAGTTTATTGTCTTATCCAGGATGCAGATGTAGTTTATCGTCATATATATATATAATATAAAATATATACATATATGTGTGAAAATATATAGAAAATAGGTTTGTTTGTTTTGTTTTACGGCATATCAACCTCAATGGGTCATTTAATACAGACATTTTTTTCCTGGTAATATTTTTTGTCAAAAATCTATTTTTGGTAATATTTTTTTCCTCAAAAATGTATTGCTGGTAATATTTTTTTTTTCTTCAAAAATTTATTTCTGGTAATAATTTTTTTTACAAAGTATTTCTGATATTAAAACCTATTTTTAGACTTTCATAATGTTGTTTACCTCAGTTTTGGGGTTAACTATTTGCCCATAGCTGGGACCCTAACAGGTGCTACCACCCTGGGTCAGGGTGGACCTGGGAACACCAGCAATTAAGAGGTGGTTCCACACTCCTCAAAACCTCCTTTTCACACATTATATATATATATATATAATATCTTACTTATTATAAAACGCAGATTGTGTGTATGTGTGTGTACGTTTATATATTGGATTGGATTACCTACATTTTTCAACCGATTTCAACAAAACTTCACAGGACTATGTAAAATTACCTTGCAGTGGTTCTGACAGCGCCAAAAATTGGAAAAACAATTGTTTTTGCATGAAATCAATTTGAAAACACGATTAAGAGGCATTAATGAAAGGGGGACAACTCATATCGAGTTATACTTATTAATATCAAGTTATCAAGTTACACTTATTATAAAACCCAGGTTGGTTGTGTGTCTGTGTGTGTGTGTGTTCATTTATATATGGGATCAAATTTCCTACATTTTTCAACCGATTTCAACAAAACTTCACTTTTTTTGGCAGGTAGTGTTTCCTATTGTCTTGCACACTTTTTTTCTTTATTTTTACATTCAGAATGCTTTAAAAATTCCATTTACAAGACAATTGTTTATAATAAAATTCTATTCAATCAGTAGACTCATAACGATTGAAAACAATGTTTTTGTTTGAGTTTGGGTTTGACCAATTAAGTAAAAAAAAAATAAAACTAATTAAGACATGCGTGTCCGTCAACCTTAAACAATAATCTTTGTCAATTTTATTTTTCAGTCTTTATGATGGTCGATACTTGATCTATCTCTTATTGTTACATCCCGGCAACGCTGGCTACTACTGCTAGTTTTTATATATATATATATATATATATATATATATATATATATATATATATAATAAAGCACATCCTACTGCTTTGTAATGCACCAATCATGTCACATTGTCTTTTCTGTTCATATCTAAGAATGTAGACTAGATATACCTTGTATATTTTGTTCACTCAATTTCAAAATATGTCCATGTAAATTTGTAGAATTTCCATGCTGCTAATCTAGACTAGGAAGCTACTATAACCATTACAAATTATCACAATGATAATGGGCATTTTACAATAATTTAAATTACTGAAATTACAATTTTGGTTTTTAATTGCAAGAAAAAGAAGCATACATGCTTTCATAAAACAATATAATACAATAAAAGAAATTTGTTTTTTTTTTTAACAATCTATTATTTTTGTTTTTTCTTTTCAGTTATGGCGGATATTTACTTCTGTATTGTATTACCCCATCTCCGGTTCGAGAGGATTTCATTATTTGCTTAGTCTTTACTTCTTGTATTCTTATTCAGTTCGATTAGAAACAGGTAAGTTGTTAAATATACTTATCAAAAGGTATACTCTTTCTTATCAAAAGGTAGACTCTTTCATTAGGTGTTTCATCATACAAATGAAATTGCCTTTTAACCAAACAAATGTAGAAAGTAATTTCTATATGACACTCAAAAATTGATAACCTTTCAATTCCTTGACTACGAAGACCAACATAGACTAGTTTTCTTAGATTCCTGTAAAAATCACTTGTTATGTTGAGGATTGTTTTTTTTTTTTTGTTTTTTTTTTTGTTTTTTCAGCACAAAATCTCTGAAAGATAAGAGAAACAGGATATAAAATCTATACTTGACCATAGTCAAGCTCATTGAGTCAATGCAAATGATCCTTTCCTTAGCTGCATACTCTGTTTCACCAAGGTTACATACAGTTTTGAATTCAAAATTTTACTTCTCCTAGACCGGTTGCCACCCAAGGCTATAGAACCCAGTCTGTCCCACTATTTACCTAATAGAGAGAAGTCGGATTCATCCCAAGAGTATTAGCACATAAGTGAATGTAATGAACGCGACTGGTATTCAAATTTGGCTCTCTGATTCATCAATCCATGCTGCAATCCATTACTCTACCATGCATCCGTTAAAGTTTATACTACCAGCAGATAAATTACAATTAAATCTTCCCCTCCACCTTCCAATGCTCACACACAAACACTAGAGACTACAAATCAATATTTAACTTGTCCTTTTTATTTTTTCACTAGCTTAGAACCTGCCGTTTAGGCAGACTTTAAGCTAGCTCCTGCAGAGGGATTTTGAGCCTTTGGCCTTTTATCTTCAGCGTCTTATGTAAGTAAAAGTTATAAGAATTTAGAAAATAATAAAATTATTTTATCTTTATTTGACCTTAATTCGGTATAATATATCTTTGTATACGCAACCGATCTCCATAGTTTGTTTACATTTATTTGGTGTGCAATTTCCTTTTCTTTTAAAATCACTATTCTTTATGATCTCTTCACATAAAGTCACTCTTAAAAGACATTAGGGAATCCAAACTATGTAATATTTCAAATATGTCACAGTACACGTGCTAGAAAAAAAAAAAAAACATATGCTCAATTACAGTTTAATTAGACAATATATATTGCAATTGCGATGAAAAATGAAATTAAAGTTAAACCTTTAATAAAGGATTGTTTTTTAAATCTTTCACTCTTTTCGATATTTAAATGAGTTGTTTATTTAATTTTTAATCAAGAGATTGAAAAACAGACACACGTACACTGCACTTTATTTATATAGATTTAATTTGGGTGTGTTTCAATTGCATTCTCTTGCAACCATTTTGTCCATTTTGTTTTGGTCTCTATTAGAGCTATACAACCTTATCATGGCACAAAGGGAATTTCCTTGTTTTGTGGCACATCCCCACCTCTGCACACACATTTCCTAACAGCAAAATGTATAATGTTTTCTTTACCTTTCAGCTATACATATACAAAGTATGTTTTCTCTGTTCTTGTATTGTTATTAATAATATATATATATATGACCCTGGGTTTCACGCTTTTGTGATCATCAGACAAACTGATTAATTTTTAAAAAATATATATATATAATTATTTATTTTAGGATATTAAAGCATGTTAAAAATTAACATAATGGCAATTATGTTTCAACCCCTTAAATGTGTCTCCTCAGATGATGTAGCAATTTTTAACATGTTTTAATATCCTGAAATAAATAATATTTAGCTCTACTCTGTATTGAGACCTCTTTTAAATTAAATGTTACATAGTCCATTTCTTCTCATTTTACCTGGATATATATATATATATATATGTGTGTGTGGGTGTGTTAAGAGACAATGTGAAACCTGAGAATATTGAAAACCAGATAAAACTGTGATGAATGTTTTGGAAAGAATTAAAGCAAAAATATCAATTCCCACGTCTAGAAAAGTGGTTTCACTCACACCTATGAGGTCAAGATAATCTGGAAAATGGTAGCCATGATTTAAAACCAATACATATTTTGACAAAGCGGTTGATGGGGTCAAGAGCTGAATATCGTCAAAGCTGATGATTTTGCCAGATCACAATCACAAGACACAGGATAAATGTATGTGTGCAGGAAACTGGGGGATCCCCAAAAGTGTGTGGGTGCCAAAATCGTATCAAGTATGAGGAAGACCACCTCTGATGGATCACATGGTTTGAATTAACCAGTTTGGGTAAATTATGACTGGGGGCAGGGATTTTGGCAGAAACACTAAAAATATGTAAAAATCGCCAATCAGTTGGGGAGAGTTTTTGAAAACAGTTGGAAAGTTGAAGCGAGTCATCATTGAAGAGTTGCCAGGAAAGTCACCAAGAAGACTTGTCGAAGAACAGTCATTAAAACTAGTCATCAAAAGCCAGTAGCCATCCTCCAGCAATAATTACTTTGCCAGACTGAAATACAAAGAACTTACAAGCATCTTTTTTCTCCTATTGTTGTCACTGATATTTACACTCAGTTGTGAATATTGCGGACATCAGATTAAATCAAGTTGTTATTGTTTATAAGAGTTTTGACTTGTTCCTTGTCAGAACTTATTTGTAATACAGATGTATTCTGACTAGTATAGTTGATTATATCTAGTTCCAAATCTCTGGTATACTTTGTTGGATACTTCTTTTCCAGAATAAAATCAAAAACACAACATAGGCTGAGAAAGAGCAATAGAAGATTGACAAATCAACTATCAACTGAAACAAAGAGGTAGCAACCCAACCATCCAGAAGCAACAGCTAGAAGTGATAAGATCTGAGTAACCGTGGGTTGGAGAGAAGTAGAAGTGTTATAGAGTGATGCCATCATAGACCAGTTTATGAGCCAAGGTGGTAGTGTTATGATAGAAATTTGGTACTTTGACAAATAATACTGACCCAGCAGCAGTGTGTATGTACATAAGTATGAATGAATGATTCGTTCATCTATGTGTGCAAATTTATACCTTTGGAAAATGTTGAATTCAATTTCTTTGAAAGTTCCTGTCCTCGTCCATTACAACCTCTTACTCAAAACTACAACAGACTAATGTCCTGATCTTTGTTGTTACTATCATATTTTAGCCGTTGTACCCAATAGAAGATACGACGACAGAAACATGATAGTAATAATAAAGATGGGGACATTAGTTCAACTGTAAATAATGCAAACCAGGGAATTTGTTCAATACTTACCAGAATTATATAAGTCATGCTTGTATAAAAGTTGAACTTCAAATTAATTATCCATGTAAAGATGTTTACATTAAAATTTATATTTTAGATGACTATATTAACGAAATTATGATGTTTGTTTGAGAATACATGTGATAAAGTGATTTGCTGAGTTGCCCCAACTTTATTGATGAAATATGGTTCAGTATGGTAGAGTAATGGATAGCGGCTTGGAGTGAGGAATCGGAGAGCCGAGTTAGAATTCCAGTCAAATCCATTACATTCACTTACATTCTAATACTCTTGGGAAAGGTATGAATCCTTTTCTTCTTCACTAAGCCATGGGTAAATAGCAGGATAGACTGGGTTCTATAGCCATGGACGGCAACTAGTCTACCGCAGAAAGAAATGGCAACCTACTGCAGGAAAAAATCTGCTTCGTCAGTCATGTATTGAAAGATACATGATCGCCTAAGCGTGTATCACGCATGGCACATAACTGACTGACTGACAAATGTAAGAAGTAAACAGTTTCTCCTCCTGCAGCAGAACCCAAACGGAACAGTGAAGAATTTCAGTCACTGTACATTTTTATTGGTCAATGCATCTTCACAAGTGGCCCAGACATATTGGGGAATGGGGAATTTTTTTCAACTCACTAATGGTTGCCTAGCAAGGCTAGAGAATCTTCTCTGTCCTGCTATTTAACCTATAGCTGGGGGAGAAGAGATGGATTCATACCTTTCCAAGTGCTATTTGCACATGAGAGAAAATTCTGAGCTGCAATCCCCATTACATCATCCACACATGCAAACATAAAAGCAATGAAATCTTTGTCTTAACATTGACAACCCAAGAATATTAAATGTTACACTTACAATTCAGTGGAATATGATTGTATGTTTAAAGAAAGCTTTTCTGTGCCATCTCCTGTGCATAGGAAAACAGGGAGATGCCAAATCAGAGAAATGATACAGATGATTGTCACATACCAGCTCTCTCTTTAAGTGCCATGTCCTTTCAGAATGTAAGCAGTCATAAATCTTCCTTTTTCATTAGTATCTGTAAAGTGTGTGTTGCCACAATATATGGTGGCAGGGTGTAATAAGAAATTTCCAAGTTTTCATTTGAAATCCAGAACATACAAACTTTAAGCAAAATTATTTACATTATTCGGACTATTGTCCTCATCTTTGTCGCCATATTTATTACAACATTTCGGCTGTTGTATCCTCTGGCCTTCTTCAAGTGGTTGGAATGTCAAACTTAACCCTTTATTTCGCTCACTGGGGTAGACTGTTCTAGTTCAACATGCCATGTTTAATGGATGTCAGATATCAGTTATCTCCTGTTAATTTTGCTCTGAAAGTTCTCCACTGCCTTAACCAGGTATTGAACTCACACTCTTTGGGTCCTGTCACTAGATCTAACCAATGCCTTTATCCACTGTGCCATGTGTCCTTGAGGAAAATGCTCAAAATATATGAAACAAAATTTTCTTTTCTCGTCATGCTTCTATTTGGTCAAAAGGCTGAATAGGAGTTGACCATAGTTGGGTCTCTAGTCAATGCGAGCAATCTTTTCCTTAGCTGCATTGTATGTGCTTCACCAGGGTTATATACAGTTTGGAATTTAGTTTTCCTTCTCCAAGACCAGGTCTATAGAACCCAGTCAGTCCTACTATTTACCCATAGCTGGGGGAAGGAGAGTTGGATTCATACATTTCCCAAAGGTCTTAGCATGTAAGTGAATATAATGAACTTGATTGGAATTCAAACTTGACTCTCCATTTCCTCAATCTGAGCCCCAATCATTTGTTCTACCCTGCCTTCTTAAGGTCTAATAATATACAATAAATATTCTTATTCATATTATCTCTCAAATTTCTTTCATTGGCCTACTATATATATATATATATATATATATATATATATATATATTGTGTGTATTTAGGCAGAATTTTTTCATTGACACATGTTTCATTAGATAATATAGACAAGTTTTGTCTATTTATTTTATGTAAATTCTTTTCATAACGTCTGATAAGCTTAATAACATTATCATTAAAAGAAGAAAGAAAATCACAATATTGATACATATTTTTTTAATCCTATCTAAGCTTTTGGCTTACATATGCCATTATCAAAGATGACAATTACATTATAATATTCTTAAATGCCTATAATTGATAACAGAAGCCATTGGTTTATACCAATGGCTTCCCATACTTAACACTTCTTGTTTTCACTCTCGCGTGGTCATGTGTGTGACGTAATAAGCTGCAGTGCGATTTTCACTTTCAGCATCTTGTATACACTAGTTTGTCGTTGCTTGGAAATATTCCATGTAAACATAAACAGACTATCATTATTGTTTTGTCCGTGTATTGTTTAATATATAGTACCACATCACCCCTTCCATCTGGCCACCTAACTCTCCAGACTGCAACCCCTTTGATTATTATGTGTGGGGCACAGTTGATTGAGAAGCCAACAAAACTCCTTGTAATACAAAAGATGAACTGAAGGCAAAGATTATGGCAGCATTCACCAACTTAAACAACGAGACCATTCAGAAGAGTTGCAGGAAATTCTGAATTCATCTGGTGGCTTTGGGTGAAGCCAATAGTGATTTTATTGAATAAATTTACTCTTTAGTATTTCAAGATATTTTTGTGTAATTTTGGTAAATATATCTGTTAAAATGTGATGTTACTGTTATTTTCATTTTTACGTAATTTAGACAACAAATTATCCATCCCACCTTGTATAATTGTGTGTGTGATGATAAGGGTTTATTTTTTTGTGAAGTAAATACTTATATCTTTTGCTGTTTTTTTCCCCCCACACAGGTATCTTTGATGGCCGCCCTGCTGATTATGTTTTTATGCTGTTGTTCAATCTCACCTGCTTGGTTGTATCCTTTGTTTAATATATTTATTACCAAGACTATTTATCCATCTATTTAATGAAACAACTTCAAAGGAAATTCACTACCAGAGGAATTTCAGCAAAGTTTAACCTATGTACCTGTAAAAAAAAAAAAAAAAAGTCCGTCAAAAGGCCAGTTCCTCTCTTGACATGGCTATTCTTCTATATTCCTGCAGCAATTTTTATTGGTTTAAAAAGCTATGTTTAGAATTTTAATAACAATTTTTTTTTATACTAATGCTCACCCAATACAAGACACAAGGGCCACTCAAGGTAGAGGGTGACTGTGTGGAATTGTATTAGTGTAAGAAAGGGCAGGATAACAGGAAAGATAGCTAATTCTAGATTTGAAGAGATCAAGATTTAATTAGTGAATAAAATTTCAGAATTCAGGCAGACATGTTAGGAGTTTAGAGTTGAAGTAGACTTTATAAGAAACCAGAAACCTAATCTTAAACAGGAAACAAAGGATGCACCTCTACTCCTGTTCAAAATACAGGGGAGGAGTGTGAACTAGATGATAGGCAAACCTATCCACTCCTATTAAATGTTATATACTATTTAGTTGTTAGATTTCTTTTATTTATACAAATAATTTGGTTTTCTTCTGGTCTCTTCTCAGAATTTTGGCTTGAATCCTTCATTCAGTTGGCAAAGTTTAACATTTGTACCCATGAAGAAACAGTGTGTCAAAAGGCCAGTTTCTCTCTTGACATTGCTATTGCTCTATATTCCCTCAACAATTTTTATTGGTTTAAAAAGCTATTTTTAGTAAAACCCAAACATATGAAATTTGTTTATACATTTTTCTTTTGTTCTCTAGAATTAACAACAAAAATGTTAAATACTATTTATTTGATTGTTTATTTGCAAGAATAATTTTATATTTCCAAGATTATAAAAATATCGGAACTACTATAATGCAATATTCATAAAAAAAAAAGAATGAATATCAAATAAATTTTTTTTTTCTTTAGTCATAAGTCTGTAAAAATATTTGAGCCATAGAACAAGAAAATTTAACTAAAAATAATTGCACATTTTATGATAATAAAATACTACATGAGATTAATCCCCCCCCCACACACACACACATACATACATACACACATTTGGAAAATTAAAACAGGTAATAATCTGCAAAGAAAATGTATAATGTTGGAAAAATTCATTTTGTTAAAATTTATAATTACAGCTATGCATTGCTGTGTTTATTCAAATTTTTTTGTTCTATAGTTCAGACATCATAAATTATAAATAAAATGTTTTCATAGTTATTCCTTTCTCCAAAACAAAGGCCAAGGGAGAAGAATATATGAACAAGAACTGTGCATGTTCCATGTGGTATTTATACAGTATTTATGAAGTTGCTATCTCACGAGCCTGGCCTCTTATTTTCCTCCTTAGAAGACAAAAAAATTATTTAGTTAAAGTACAGCAACTATGTATATGAAAGAGAGTGAGTTTTGTCTTTTTAATTTCTTTAATGCTTTTTTCTGTTTTATACATGATGTCATTTATGCAATCTATTTGAATTCTTGTATTCTATAAAATGGCAGGATGTAGCGAACAAAATCTTGTCTACTGGCAAACATCAAGTTCATAATGACTGAAACAGTCAAAAGTACTTGAACCAAAACCAAACATCAACTTTGAACTGTTGATCTACAATTTTGATTCGGCTGTGCAACATCTCATTCAAAAATTGGAAATATAAAAATATTAGGCAATTTTTCAGTTGAATTTAATGAAACTTCTATAAATTAATTCTTGCTGCCTAAATATGCCACATTATTTATATATATATATATATATATATAATTAGAATAAAGAGTTCACATTTGGTTATAAGTTGGTTAATAAAACAAGGGTAAATAAAAGGGTATCAATTTGATCAGTACAAAAAACATTTATTAAATATTAATTATTAACCACATGACAGAAATTATGGTTTTAAGTTCAGAATCTTTAGGCATGACTGTGTCCTTCATCAGTGGCATGAGAAATAAACGGAGAAATGGGGAAGGCTCACCCACAGTTGTTTTTTTTTTTTTTTTTTTTTTTTTTTTACTGGTGTCAATCCTGGTGTAGTTGGTATTATTAGCAAAAATCTGATCTCTGTCTGATCCCTTGCTTTGCGAAACTTGAAAATAAAGTTAGATTCAAAATTTTGATCAGTATGAATGTGTTGGGCTGTTTTGTCATTATCAGTGTGGGTAGTAGGGGAGTGAGATTTTGAACATAGAGGAAGAGGGTCATAGGACTTGGGGCAGGGAAGACTCCTCATGTGGAGTCAGTACCGAAGACTGTTCGTCCAAGACATTTGCTGAGGCAGGAAAGGCGGGGGGTTAAAAAAAAAATAAAATGAAAGGAAAAAAAAATGGAAAAAGGAATAAATAAAAGGATACAACATCTTGAAAAAAAATTTCTTTGGTAAACCATTGGCAGAAAATGAGGGTGCAGAAAAAATAATTTCCACAAGGAAACCCATTACCAGCAAAACCACACCTCGAATGAGTAGGCTCTCCACTCATATTTTAAATCCAAATTTTAACAGCCATCTCCCTTCTATATTTTTCTGCTTTGACACCTGTGATTTCCACTAGTATGCACTTTTTTCAGTAAAGGAAGTATTGCCATGTACACTGATGGCTACTTCCCAATCTTCTATACCATCTTTGGTTCTACAACTACAGTTCCTTTACATTCAGAATTTTGTGGGGAGTGAGGAAAGTTGGTACAGGTGCATATTAATTTAGTATTAGGTATTCATATCTTTACATAAGTTGAGATTCACAAGTTTATGTGATAGCTAGTCTATATTTACACACTGTTAGGTGCACTTATGTACACAACACATCTATATTTGTATGCGTTTTTGTCCCTCTCTTTTTCCTGTATTATTACCATTAATTTTTATTTTTTTCTGTCCCCTCCCGCCCCCCAATATCTGAAAATGGTTTCCCAAAAAAATTTTTTTATCAAAATGTTTTATCCTTTTATTTGTTACTTTCCTCCTCCTCCCCCCCCCCCTTCACTTTATTTTGATTATCTTTTTTTCCTTTGTTCCCCCCCAACACACACACACACACACACACTTTTCCCGTCTCACCAAATATCTTGGACGAACAGTCTTCGGCACTGACCACACACAGGATGTCTTCCCCACCCCAAGTCCTATGACACTCTTCCCCTACGTTCAAAATCTCGCTCCCCTACTACCCACACTGATAAGGAAAAAATGGCCTAACACGTTCACACCAATCCAAATTTTGAATCTAAGTTTATTTTCATAAGTTTCACACAGTGAGGGATCAGACAGGGAACAGATTTTTGCTAATAATACCAACTACATCAGGATTTATGCCTGCCACAAGAATAACTGTTGGTGAGTCTTCCCCATTTCTCTGTGTATTTCTCTCGCAGCTGATGAAGTACACAGGCGTACCCAAAAATTCCAGACATAAAACTCTAATTTCCGTGCTTCGTTTTTGTCACGTCACCAATAATTAATATTTAATAAATGTTTTTTGTACTGATCACATTGATACCTTTTCATTTGCCCTTGTTTTATTAACCAACCTATCTATTTTACATACACACACACACACACACACATATGAATCAAACATGGATTAGAATCTGAAGGAATGATAAGATAAGGAACAAATAGGAAACATTTATATATTTAACATATTTCAATTTTATTTAAGCTTCATCAGAAATGAATTATGGAGGAGAATAAATGTTTAATAAATACCACCCTAATATGAAAAGAAAAATTTATTATATAGAAAATACTTAGAAGGAATCCTGGTAAATAAACTCATACCAAATACACTTTATTATATCACCCATTTTTATAATATCCATACTTAAAGAATCTAAGATCAGTTTACCTACAACCACAACCTACATAAACTAAAGTCATACAAAGAGATTACACTAGACGGAAATAAAACTGCTCACTAGACATACATTATCAACTACCAAACACACAAGAATTATACACACGAACACTACCTAACAAGATAAATAAACCTGAGGTTGAGTTAACCAATGAAAAACAAAAAAAATAAACAGAACTTTTCTCCTCCATGTTTCATTTTTTGATGTAGTTTATTTAAATAAAAGCAAAACCTATTAAATTTATAAACCATTCCTATTTGTTCCTTATCCTATCCTATCATATATATATATATATATATATATATATATATATATATATATATATATAGTGGTTTTGGTTATAAAAATTTTATTCCATCTAAACCAACCCTCTATTTGTGGGTATGTGTAATATTATATATATAATATATATATATAAATTAGGATGGGCATTAATTCACTTAGAAAGAGGATAAATATTAGATCTGACAATAAATTCAATACATTTATCAAACTATTGGCCCTGATGAACATTTTGATGCAAAGCTCTTGAGCTGGCTAGCCAGATAAATAATTTGTATATTTTAATAATAATATATATATATATATATATATATATATATATATATTTTTTTTTTTTTTTTTTTTAAAGACTTTCTGGTTAGGCCAAGAACTTTTCAGTCCCTCTTCTTATATTATTTTAAGATTAATTTTTGAATGCCAAGTGCAAAGGAAGTTAAATTTGCTATTTCCAAGGGCTGATATTTTTTTTGTTTTTTGTTCTTTCTCTTTGCCCATGAATTGAATTTTTTATCCTATGTATTCTTTTTAAAATTATTTTTTATTCCTTAACTACTTTTTCTGTTCAGATCATTGGATTTATTGCTCCTCTCATGGTAAGATATTTATACTCAAATTTTCTTTAAAAAAAAACCCAGAAAAGTACAAAGAATGCCAAATCTATATTATAAAAAAGAACTGATTCTCTGTCTGTCACATACTGTATGTGACTTCCTATGTGTGTGTGTGTATAATGTATATGCATATGTCAATGTTGTGTGTGAGTGACTTACATGTGCATACTTACACAAGCACACACACAATTTGATTAAACACTGGAATAATGCATTCTCCTTCCACTCAGTCTAAACAATCCCTGCCCTGTGCTGACCAATAAAATTACAAAGTTCAAAACAGAAATTTTTTTTTTTTTACCCTAAAAAAATTACATAATTATGAGTTAAACTTTTCAGAAATTATTTGATAATAAATATAATTTCATTTTTTAAATTTTGCACATTTTTAGGTCTGTCATTGAATTAAAATGTACATACACACAATCTGAATGAAACTGAAATGGTTATCTGTGTTACAAGGGCTAATTTCCCTTTCTGTCTGGCAATAATCCCTGGATCACAGGAAAAGAACATAAACTCTTTGAAGTCATTTTTATGGCCCCTATTTTTAAATTGGATATAATTTCTAATAAATGTTCATTTTTTTTTTTTTTTTTTTTTTTTTAAATGAAATCATTTATATTTTAAATTTGATTACCTGCTGTAATTAACTATATAGGCTAATTTCTTTATTGCCATAACATGCTTTTATTTCTATATATGAAAGGAGTAAGGGAAGTAACTGTTTGGTTGACAGGTTCATAAAAAGTAGCAAGAACACCTTGACTTGAGTGATAATCTAGAACACCTGTATGCAAAAGCCAGCTGACAAGAATTGAACTTCGTCAGGTTATCTTGCCCTAGACATGCCCACAGCTGCAGGAATTGACCCTTATGGACCCTAATGAATTCCAGGATTTATGTTCAAGATTAATACAAGTATTGGAAAAAAAATAAATCTATTTTGCTACTGAAAATATTTCAAAGAGAATTGAGAATGTTAAAATTTGGCATGTGCTACAGAAAAATATATGTTGCCTTCTAATGTTGCCCACTAAATGCATTCTTTTATTATAGAAAATATCTATATGGTTGTCTGAGTCAATATAATGTGGATCTACATGAAATGGGATGGTTGTCAGCATTGAAATTGAAATTGGCATGTCAGGTTCAGATACTGATTGAGGCTATTTCATTCATTTTATACTGATGCCCTTTAAAAAGGCATGAATCCATCTTACTTCAGCTATTGGTTAAATAAAAGGATAGACTGAGCTCTCTTGCCTTGAGTGGTAGCCAGTCTAAAACAACACCAGTATTCAAAAGCAGGCTGACAAGAATTAGGTTCTGTCTGGTTATTTTGCCCTAGGTATGTCAACAGCTGCAGAACTGGTACCTTTTGGACCATAATGGTTTATAACATTTGTCTTCATGATTAATACAGATATTTGGGAAGACATATTTAGTGGGCCTTAAATAGAAGACAGGATAATATATTTTTGTGTAGCATGTGTCATTTTCTGTATTAAGTACATTAATATATCAGTTTCTGCTCTAAAATGGGAAATGAAAGAGCATGCCATGTTAATGGTATCGGCAACCAACCAACAGTGACTTCAACTTCTTGAAAGTGTCAAGGTGTATAAGAGGGATGACAGGTGGTCAATGTCAATTGTTTTTAAAAATGTCATTCTTAATTTTTCTATTAATGAAAGTATAGTCTTATGTCTACATTCAATTAAAACCCTTTCAAGTTTAGTCTAAAAAATTTCAGTACACTTCTACTAATCCAACTTCTTATGGATTACATAAAATCGCATTTTTTACTGACTTTTTGTTTTTTCTTTTATAAGCTTCTTATGGATCCAATGGTCCTTAGTGTGTTGTACATCTGGTGTCAGCTAAACAAGGATACAGTGGTGACCTTTTGGTTTGGTTCACAGTTTAAAGTAAGTATTAAAATATATATATATATATATATATATATATATATATATATATATACTGTTTAATAAATAAATGAAGTGACTACTCAGATATGAGTATCAACTAACACAAAAAAAAGAAAATGTTTAAAATAAAAATCTGTTGGATTAATAGATAAGAAAATCCATTATATATATATATATATATATATATATATATAATTTTTTTATGTTTATACATTCTTTTTATAGATACAAATATTTAAGTAAATGCTCTGCTTACAATAAAATGTCTTAAAAATAATTGTCGGACTTTGTCCATTTCATAATGTGTGACATCATTTGTTTACATTTGGATATGCTTTGAGCAGATGTGAATGTACGTGAGAGATTCATGGAAGATTGTAGTTTAAAAGCAGTAAAATCTAATCAAACAATCCTCTGTGGCCAAATCAGTAAAGGCACATCAGGCTAAATGATGGTTCCATATAGGATACAGGTTCAATTTCTGTCTGAAGACGAATATTCTCTATGAAAATTTTTCAAGCATTCAGACCGGTAAATGTTATTAATACTGTTTATTATAAACAGAGCATTTACTTAAATATTTGTATCTATAAAAAGAACGTATAAACATAAAAATGTCTTAAAAATAATTGTCGGACTTTGTCCATTTCATTATATATATATATATATATATATATATAATAGAGAGAGGGACAGTCATTCCTTCAACAAACAATAGACACAGGGAAATCTGGGAAAATTCACAGGTGTTCTTTAATCAAATTCATAGATAAATTACAAATTTCTTTTAACAGTTTTAAAATCAGAGTATTTTAACAATAGTTAATATTTAGTGTAGATTACAAAAATATAAACTGCTTATGTCTTGTATACATTTAATTCCATCACGACCTGAAGATTGCTGAAATGCCAAAAGGCAAAAAAAATGTTGTCCACTAAATATGTTAGATTCAGCATCCAAATTAGTTTTCCTGTCATTTTTTACCTAAAAGATTATTTCAATGCAATCATATTCCTGTTATATAAATGTCAGTTTTATTGTTTGAAAATAACTTGATTTTCTTTTACTTTTTCATGACATCAGTAGGCCAGCTCAGCAGTTTAAAAAAATTTTTATAATTTTATTATGTATTCTTACATGTCTGAAGTTCATATGACAGATTTCATAAATTGGATAAACTTCTGTCTAAGGTCAAAACTAGAATTTAGTTGGACAAACAGACCAATACTTGACTGTATTGCAAGTTGAGTCAGCTATGACCACCAAAAAATCAAGATGTGACACAAGGTCGATTAACGTGGGAGACCCGAGTGTTTCCACTCAAAGGCCACTGGTCAAAATTGGTCATAGCTTGTCCAAGCTGGTCAGAGCCTAGTCAAAGCTGGTCATGACTTGTCCTAACAGGTCCAGGCCGGAGCCAGTCCAAGCTAGTCAAAGCCTTGATCGAATCTCAGCCATAGGCCAAGAAATGATCCAATATTTGTCAAAACCCCCGGCCGAAAAATCGGCCGAGCTATGACCACCTGTGTTTGGCCCAGTTGGTGAGTGGTTAATATAACAGGCTGGGATGTTCCATTCTGCTATTTAGGTGAGCCTATTCTCCAGGTTCTGATTGGCTATTGACTTTGGTGGTTACTGTGATCAATAAATATCCATCATTACACAATGAATGCTTGAGTATGAGGTCTGTATTGGGTTACAGGCCACTTTCTTTTTGTCTACCAACTGGATGCTAGTGGGGAAATCCTTGCTAGGGTGAGTATCATATTTTTGATTCTTCAAAAATGTATTTTTCTAGAACAACTTGTCATGCCAAAATTGATACTTAAGAAGATATGAAACTATAAATTTTTATACAAATAAAATATTTTTGGTTTCATTTTACTTTTCTTCTAAATAGTTTAGATGCTATAGGACCTTAAATATGGTTTTGGTGGTGCTCTGTTGTTTAACTGAACAAAGAAACTAAACCAAGCACAAGAAAATAAAGATTCTACTTGATTATTTTAATTCTAAATACATTAAGTTAAAATAGTGAAAATGAACCACAATTTGTTCATGTTATGCAGTTTTATTGATACTCCAAAATCCAGCACAAATCAGGATCATTAGTAAGGCAAAAATCACAAAGATAATTTTAAAGGAAATAAATATAAATATTTAGGTTTAGTGATAATCATCAATACTTTCAGTCAATATTTTAATTAGCAACTTTTAATATTACTAAAATGTATTCAAAATTGCCTATACCTTAATTCTACAAATTATCATTTTAAAAAAAAAAAATGGTTCTGCAGCCAATTAAACTTTTAAAGTAAGGTACCAAAATGTGTTGATAAATTTTTGGCCCATTCCACTTCCCAAAACACAACCAAAAATTAGGATTCTCTTTTGGAAAAGGTTTCTTAAACAAAAAACATTTTAGAACCTACTCCTAGGTTTATTTATATTATTTTGAAATTAAAGAAACTGACTATAAAACATTGGGTGTGTTTTAGTAATAATGTTCACAAGATGATTTATTTATACCCACAGGCGATGTATCTTCCGTGGGTGCTGCTGGCATTCAACCTTGTCATTGGTGATGGGTAAGTTTTTACTTCTTTTTTTATTTTTCTATATAAATGCATCACTGATATATCTAGAAAAGGGTGGGGATTATTACAAAATAGTTTTTATGAGAATGATTAAAGATGCAACATTAGAATTTTCTATCTCAGCTTAATGAAAGCCTCCAAGTGTCCATACCCTTTCACTTTCTCTCTTTCTCTCCTCTCTTTCTCTCCTCTTTCTGTGAATTAAGAGCTTTGATTTAAATTACAGTCAGTGTTTTGGGAATCAGTAATTATTTATAAAATTACTGTGTGCATATTAACAAAATGTTGATGCAAAAATTTTATCTTTTTTTTTTTTTTTTTTTTTTTTAAATAATTATTTCACTTGCATTTGTCTGGAATTCTTTTCTTTTCATGGATTTTAATTTTCAATTGATTAAATTGTGATCTCAAATTTCATTTAAAATTCTTTTTTATCCACCCATCTCTATTACTATTCAGTCCTCTTATACATTACAGTTGAATTAATTCAATGTGTGTGTGTTTTTTTTTTTGTTTTTTTTTTCAGTGGACTCTTTGAATTGATTGGCATCCTGGTTGGCCACCTCTACTTCTTCCTGATGTTCAAATACCCACTGGACTTTGGTGGTGCTCGCTTGCTCAGCACTCCACAGTTTCTGTGAGTATTTTTTGTTTTTTGTTCTGTTTTTGTCAAATGAAATATCACTTTCTACAGAAGGATGCTAAGGATATCATGGACTGAGCATGTGATCAACGATGAGGTCTTAGGTTACAAATAAGGAGAATAGCTTATACTTAACATCAGGAAGAGGCAACTGAAGTTTCTGGGATTCATAATGAGGAAGGAGGGCCTGGAGAATCTGATACTCATGAGTCGAATAGAGGGAAAGAGAGACAAGGGAAAACAATGCATGTCATAGCTGGTGAACTTGAGCAAGTTGATGACAGAATGTGGTCTGGGGGAGGTAGCAGAGGGAAGGAGCTTGCTAAGAGCTGCAAGAGATAGAGAGGAGGTGGAGAGCCATGATTGCCTACGTCCTGAAAGGACATGGCACATAAAAAGAAATGCTCTCACTAACAATAAATTCATTTCTGAGAAAATTAGTATAAGAAAAAAAATTTTAAGAAACCAAACATCTGAATCTTAATGTAAATTTTTCACTGATTTTTAACCAAATTTGTGAACATGTGGCATATTGATGTAACATGTAGACACATGGCATATTGATTTTTAAATGGCAGATATCATATCACAACAAGTGACCTCATTCATGTATTTTGTTTCTAAAACATATTTTAATCTTTCAATTTGTTCAAAAGTTGAATCGGAAATTTATAAGATTTGAAGCACAGAATGCATTTCACGCTACAAGATTTTTCTTTCACTAGTTTCAATTTGAGCACATTATACTAGGTTCAGTCTCCTTATCATCAGCTACAAGACATTGAATTTATAATGTCTAGATGCACGGGAAAAATTTCCATGTGCGTTGACAAGATTAACCATAATCTCGGTATTTACCCAAGACCTCTCCACAAGGCGAGATGTTGCACAAGGCTGGTTATTTTACATGGGGCAATTCCAAGCCTGTAGGCTCAAGTAAAAATTCCTTGTAGACCCTGTAATAACGGAGTCGGGTAGCTGTCTACCTCCCCAGATGAGACTCTGCCCTTCAGCATAGCCTTGTCTGGGTTCCTCTCTGGCCAGAAGTAGAGTGGTTGACGAGCAGAGTACCAGCAAACCCAGAGGCTTTGCTGTCTCCTTAGCCATAATCTCATGCCTCTGCTCTTCTTGCTCTTGGTTTATCTGTATCTTCTCATACTCTACCTTATCCCTTCCAATGGTCACTACCCATTACTTTTGGTTTATCTCAACATTAATTCTTTTCTAAGGACTAAGGAATGCACAAATACTTTGACTGCATCCTCTCTTTTAACTTTCTTTTTCTCTGTCTCACCAGAATTATCACAATTTTCACATCTTTATATCCCTCTGTGCCTTTTGCTTACTGTTTCTACTCAGATAACATTGACTACATTGTGTTCAAGTGAAATTTGCTTACAATTTGGCTTAGCAATTTTCCCCTCTTCCATTATAAACAGCCAACAAAGCACTCTCTTGGATTTTTTCACTGACCAGACATATAACCCCTATATTGTGTCTCTATTCCAATTTGCATCAGTCTGCACAAAAACTTGGAAAGGTCTTTTGTATGTTCGCAAAGGGAACAAAAGATAAAATCAAAACCCTATTTCTGTTTTCCCAAATTTGGTTGTTTATTCACTGGCTTTAATTGCATAATCTGGATGGTTAGGTGGGTAAAACATAGGGCAACTTTTGCCATGCTAGACTGGTGGATTAGCTTTTCCTTCAAGTGCCAAGAACTCTGACTTTTTCTTTCTCTCTCTCTACTCACCCCCTCTGAGCATCTCTACATTATGACATGCAGCTGGTAACCCTCTTGACACCATGCACCCACCAATAGGCAACCTGGAACTGACAGGCAGTCTGTACCCCAGCAACAATCTGTATCACTTTCAATCCTAACTGTTTATGCAAGCCTTTAAATGGAAATTTCCACTGTCTGGTCAAGTGCCTCTTCATCTCCAAAGTTTTCACTTATTTATCTATTATTTTATTCCCTTTTGGTCAAGTGGGTGTCCAGCCTGAAGATCCCAATTCACAAAATTTATTGCTGGTCATAAAAAAAAGAATAATACTCTTAAAACAGAGTTAAAATAATTTATCTTTTTCTATGTGGCTGTTCCTATCACATACCATCATATTCAACAAATATATTGGATCTCTGGTTTACTATTTATTGTAACCTTTACAGAATTCTTTTAATTTTAAAAAAAAAATTACAATAACATCATCTTTTGTTTCTTTTTAATCTTTTCATCCCAAGAAAGATAATAAAAGCCACTATGATGCAAGGGGTTACTGAGACTGAAAGAAACAGAGGTCAATCGAAGAACAAGGTTCCAGAAGACAGAAGATGATTATTGACATTGCATGTAAATTTTTGAAGATCATAGTTGACAGAAAAGTAGGAAGCCAGAAGAAAATTCCACAAGCAAAAAGTAAAAAAAAAACAATTAGCATAGAACTTATGTTGGCAACAAGCAATATCAACAGTGAAATTGAGACCTAGCTGCCAATCTAGTACTGAACATAAATTCATGGAATCAAGGTACCAACAACAAAAGCTCATCAAAAAAATTACTATGAAAATATTTATAGAAGCCAATGGAAACTACATTACAGCTGTGGGGAAAGAGACTGAAGCCGAGATACCAGGTCAGGATCAATAATATTGCTGATTCTTCTTTGGAGTTTGTCATGAATCTTGGGACACATATGAGAAGCACCAGACCAAATATGGCAGCAATATTTCATAAATGAACAAATGGTGGACTTGAATCTGCAAGATAGATTCTCGTGAGAAAAATTGTCTAGCACAACATAGTGAGCATTAGACCAGGAAGGCACAGCGAGTTACTCTTCTGGAGGTTAGCATCAGCCATGTTAATGGAAGGCAAAAATTGGCTTTAGATGCTTTATATAGAGCAGTTTTGTTTTTGAGCCATTAAAATTAACAAGCCACTTCTTGTCCCATTTAACAACAGATTGTAGATCGTTTTCAAGATCAGCTACCAATTTGATTTTTATCAAACCAATCAGACTTACTATTAAGACTGGAGTAAATAGTTGCATCATCGGCATAGATACCGAGTCAAGAACTGATGACATCAGGAAAGTCCTTGAGGAAAATAAGGAACAGAATAGAACGTGAGGGAAGCCTGCATTAATGTGAAATAATCTAGAGTTTGTTGTTCAGAAAGATAAAAAAGTATTTTTGTAAGATGGAATGATGAAGTTGCCTGAAAGATAGGTTTTGGTAATGGAACTAAACTGGGAATATGTTACTCAAGTTTCATTTTTATTTAATAAACTTAGAGGCTTACCTTTTCACAATATGTTGATGCTATTTGTTAAGGGCAAGAAGAACATGGAAATGTCCAAAGCTATACATACAGCATTTTAATACAGATAAGTTTAACAATAACAACAACTTTGTTTCTTTTCAACAGGTACAAATACTTCCCAAATCGTCGAGGAGGCACTTCTGGATTTGGAATGTCACAACCAAATCGGCCACAACCCGAGGATGACAACCGTGGTGGGGGTTGGCATGCTTGGGGGCGTGGACACACCCTGGGAGGTAACTGATTGACCATGGGGTGGGGTCAAGCATCATTCAACAGTGAAAAAAAAAACTAAGAAAATGGACAAGAGCTGGAAGAACAGCAACTCTAAATGAAATATTCTGAATTTCCTACCCCACCCCAACATCGTCATCACCACCACATAACCTTTGACACTAAGTAATTAATACACTGGGTTATAAAATTGATCCCATGCTTTTGCAAGTGTTTGAAAAGTAACAAAAAATGTGGGAATGGGAATTGGATTCTAATAGAAATACACATGTTGATTGGAAGAAAAAAAAATTCTTTTTTTTTTTTTTTTTTTTCAATTTTTAAGGAAAAACTCTACATTAGGAGTAATTTTTTTTTTTTTAATTCATTTTGAGGGGATTGTTTTTTAAAAATATTAACTATAAATTTATAATTTAAAAATAACAATTTCACAGATTTCATGAATTCAGTCTAAAATATTAAAGGAATTTTTTTTTTTTTTTTTTTTTTTTTTTTTTTTTAAATATTTTGGGACATAAAAATACTATCCTATATAACCTGTCTTTGTTTTTTTTTTCCCCCACCACTTCAGCTTTTTTTTTTTTTTTTTTTTTTCCCCAACTATGACATTTTGGGGACTGTCTTGTGTTCCCTGAAATAAAACCATATCCTTTTCTTCATCAGTTGTTAAAAGAAAAAATGTAATATCCAAAATTCCTTTCAACATCATTTCACATGCAGACCATTCGGCAGGAACTCTACAAAGAAAGGAATTTCAAAACAAAAACAAACAAAAAAACTTCAAAACAAAAAGTTAAAAATAAAGAACAAAAGATGAAGAATAAAAAGCAAAGGAATGTAATAAAATATTCATTGATCTATTTTATGTAGAAACCTTCCAAAATTGTTATTTCTGCTTTTTTTTTTTTTATTTACACTTACATTTATTTATTTTCTCAATTGTGAAAAAAAGTACATTTTTAATTGGCCTCATATTCTGTGTTCTCTTTAAAACTTTTAAAAATTGTAGAAAACAAATGTGAAAACATAACTTTTCATCAAAAACAAAATTTTAAAATAATTCCAGATTCTTTCTGTAAGTTTAAGAATTCTTGTTTCAAAAGTTCTTCAAATTATTGTAGGGACCTCCACTGAATTTTCGATACCTAAGGTTTAAAATTAATTTTTAAAAATGAAAAAGCATTCTTGAAGATTTAATTTTAGCTTTAATTAAAAGGTAAGGGATTAAATTTATTATTTCCAGTAAGTAAAATATTCTTGTATCTTCAGATAAAAATTATATAGATTGAAATGTCAAATATTTACTCAATTTTGTTTATTTTTTTTTTTTTTAATTTTTCTTAAAGGGGGCCAGTTTCTTAATTTTAAGAAATTTGTAAACAAAACAAAATTATAGGTTTCAAAAATAAAATATATATTTGTGACACATTAATTTAGTAAAATTACCAAATTTAAAATTAATCTGATTTGAAATAAATATTACTTATAGCATAAAAAAGTAATATACAAGCATTTCTTAACAATGGGTCTTGTTTTTCTTTGATCTTTATTGACATATTGATAAGTTCCAAGGTGATTACTGCTTTTATGGGTGACCAGAATTGACATAAATTTACGAAATCTAAGTGAATGCATTTTTTTTTTTTTTTTTTTTTTAAGCTTTTAACTACCTAGTAATTTTTACAAATTAACATGTTTTCAGCAATTATTAATATTTTATTGACTTTTATTTAGGTTTCAAGATGCTTTTATGAAATTTGCGTTTCGTCTCTAGGTTCTTAAGTTTACTAACTTAAACAAAAAATTAATTAAAGTATAACCCAAACTAAAATAAATACATAAAATAAAAATATTTAGTGAAATAGTAATTAAAAAAGCCTTCTTTGAAATTTTGAAGGGATGATTTGCAAAGACGTTAATGATGAAAAAGAACTAAATAAGGAAAGTGAAAAAATTTCAGTGCATCAGACAACACTTAAATTATGTGATCTTTTTAAGGATTATGTCATGTATAGCTTCCCATAGGTAGAAATTGGGAATGTTTATACACTAAAATATTTTTTTTAATTTTTAAAAAAATATTTGGGTACAAACAACTGTTATGATCTTTTCAATTTTTGATTCATAAATGTATTTTTCTCTTAACGATATCACCAAACTGCCAGCTTGAAGCAATGCAGATTTTTAAACAATTTTTAAATATTATAAATTAATTAAAATTTTTAAAAAAAATGAAAACAATTCTTGTAAAAATTAATTATTCATTGAAAAAAATTTCTTCTCAAGACAATAGTGTCCTTAATAAATTTTATTTATCAAAGCAATTAAAAGCTTTTCTAATTAAATAATGTCATAGTTTTATTGCATTTATTATTTTACAATTCAGAGCAGATTTTTGGTGAGTGGGTTAAATATTTTACAAAAAAAATTGATTTACCATCTCCAAGGAGTCTTTCTTTTAACTAATAAAAACCTAAAAATTTAATTTCTCAAAATTTTATGAAATTATTTAGTGGGTTGTAACATATGTGTAAAAAAAAAAAAATTTCAAAAATAATTTCATTCATTTCTGAATATGTCCTGAAAGTTTCTTGCAAGAATTTCCAAATTAATGTGCGTTTCACCGGAAAAAGCGCAAAAAAACTAACCTTTATCATTGGTTCAGCTGCTGACATAAAACATTGTTTTTAACCAAAATTTCCAACATACTAGAAAAGATGAAAAAAATTCAAAAATAATTTGGTTTTTCCTCTTAATAATAACATAAACATTTTAGCAATAAAACTTTGTTTTTATTGAGTTTGGGGCCTTTTTTCATCATGCTATGCTGTTTTTTTTTTTTTTTTTTTTTTTTTTTTTTTTTCTGCGAAAAAATGGCGGTACCTAGATTATATAATACATATGATTGCACAAGAGAACAAACAAAATAACAAGGTTTTGCTGGTGAGGTGCAAAGAAAAGAAGGCAAGTATTGTTAAGATAAAATTCTTTGTATTGCCAATATAGAGGATCAAGGTAGAATGTCTCTTGTGGGTGAGGGAAGCAACCTGGAGTATAGGGAGAGTAGGTAGGGTCTGGTGTTGATGTTTGGAGTCAGGTTAGTTGACTGAGACCACAGGTGATGACAGTGACAGCCTGCCTGCTCGACTGAACTTCAGTGTTGCAAAAGCAGAGTAGGTGGTTTTTTGTCATGCTTTTGCCTTAGCAGCAATGTTCATTGGTTGGTCCTTTTAAATTGTATCTTATATTTGGCAAGTAAGAATTTGTTTTGTGAGCTGGATGTGATGTTTGAAGCCACTGTGCAGAGGGCAACTTTTTATTTTTGCTTTCATAGCCAACAAGTTTTGATTTGAAGTGAATTAGAAAGAGATCTAATTTGAAACTGAGTTTAACATTATTAAACTCATTTTTTATTTGCATTTTTGGTTGTTACCACAGTTTTTCAGCCAGTCTATTCTCCAGCCTTCTTCAGGTTAGAAATTTCAGAATATTTCAGAAAAAGAAATCATTCCTTACAGAATGTACACCCGGATTGGCTAACAAAACACTATGGTAATAAAAGCAGTAAAAAGTCTCACATAATTCTTGGAATGACTGGGTTATTTTGAAACTTCTGGAAATTCTCTTCATGACACACTTTTTAATCTGATCTATTCTCTGTTTTTACAATTTTTACCCAATTTTAAATGAAAATTTGTTTTGTCTTGTTTCACTGAAGGTAAGATTAGATTTTTTTCAACAGAAAATAAAAAAAAAAAGATATTGACTTTAAAAGAATTATTGACATTCCATATACTTTTGAGACATTTGCACCTCTTCATGTACTTGATACATTTTGATTGATCTCCTCAAACCCCTTGCAAAGTGTCCTTCTCCTAAACTGGTGGGTAACCAAGGTTACAGAGACCAATATAACTTTTCTATGTCGATGAGATGAATTAAGCACACAATTTTTTTTTTTTTTTTTTTTTGGCTTCAAACAAAGTGTCTCAGCTGGTATTTAACCTGGGTTCTTTAATTCCATTTTCTGAACTTGTTAACCATTATGGCACCTACACCTCCATTCTTATATATTTTTGAATCTGTCAGCTCCCCAAAGAGGATAGGGCCACAGCAAGATATAAAAGGATTTTATTTCAGATTTCAATCATAAAATTTATTGGGTGGAGTTGTTCACTCCTGCTTGAATTCAGTTTTCCTTCTCCTAGGTTGGTTGCTGCTTTTGCCAATAACTGAAGAATGTTATATATTAATTATGTCCTTTGATTAAAATAAATACTATGTGATTTATTTTAAGACATTTTTATGTTTATACATTCTTTTTATAGTTACAAATATTTAAATAAATTCTTTGTTTATAATAAACAGTATTAATAACATTTACCAGCCAGAATGTCCGAGAAATTTTCATAGAAAATATTTGTCCTCCGATAGGAATCGAACCTATATCCTATACGGAACTGTCCTATAGCCTGACGTGCCTTTAACCAATTTGGCCACAGAGGAGCATTCAGTTAACAAGGTTCAATTTACTGCCTTTAAACTTCAATCTTCCATGAATCTCTCACATACATTCATATCTGCTCAAAGCGTATCCAAATGTAAACAAATGACGTCACACATTATAAAATGGACAAAGTCTGGCAATTATTTTAAGCCATTTTTATGTTTGTTCATTCTTTTTATAATAATATGTCTCAAGGTTCTTGATAAGATCCAGAGATGGATTTGCAATGTAATTGGCCCTGATCTGGCATCTCGTCTGCAGTTGCTCTCACACAAACATGCCGTCACCTTCCTCTATCTTTTTTTACAAATGCTTTCATGGTAACTGCTCCGGTGAGCTGCTTTCGCTGGTTCCCAAACTTCATGAATTTAAGCGTTCTACTATGCTGGCATCTCGCTCACACCCTTTCACTATCGACACTGTTAAATGTAACCGTCTCTTCTACTCCAATAGGTCCAT